GGCGCTCGCCATCGTGCCCGACCTCCAGGCCTGGCTCCAGAGGGGGGGCCCCGGTGACCCGCGTCCGGGAGAGGGAACGCCAGATTCCAATGTTTACGTCCGTCATAAGGGGTCTTCGGGCTGCGCTTTGTCTGGTTCCTCACCTAGGACCTGTCTGCCATGGGTGACCCTACCAGGGGCATAAAGCCCCAGACAGCATAGCTCCTAGGATCATTGGGACACTCAAACCCCTCCACCACGATAAGGTAGCAGCCCAAGGAGAGGGGGTCGTATTATACATGAATAAATACGGTAAGTCAGTTTCAATTATGATCTACAAATATTTTAGAAAGTAATGACCTACTGTTATGTTACTAATGTATCATTTTAGAGTATATTTGATAAATATGAACATGTCATACCAGGTGAATGAAGTCARATTTTAATATAAGAACATGAAAACAAAGGTTTTTACAGTTTTTATGAGAGTAGAGCTCCTGCTGACAGACGGGCTTTAATCACTAGTGGGCTTCCACACACTGTAGTGTAGCAGCTGCAACAAAACATTATGTTTGTTTCTCAGCAGACGTCTGAGGACCGGTGGATCCACTGGACAGAGGCTCAGCACACGGCTGATCGTCTCCTTCGGGGTTGTTGGCCAGCGGCTGGCTGCACCACTTGTTGGTGAACTCACAGTGGTTACACTGCTGGTTGATGTGCACGAGTGTTCCAGTGGTGGTGTTCTCCACGGTGCAGCTCTGCTTACAAAGAGGACACGTCCCGAACAGCTCCAGCAGCTGCTCCTCTTCAACAACGTAGTCCGTCTGGTCCTGGGCCCAGGGGGCYACGTCACTGAATGAGCTGGAGGAGCGAGAAGAAAAACGAACGTTGGTTCGTTTTTAACAACAAATAAAGATTTAGTTTTAAAAAAGGGTTTTTATCTCACGTCATTAACGGTGCCGTCGGTTCTTTTGCATCCTGATGACTGGAGGAGTCATCGGCTGAAGCTCCGCCTCTTTGTCTCCTCACTTTTTTCACCGGTGAGGTCGTGCTCTGGGGAAGCGACAGCTCCGTGAAGGTCTCTGTGTAGCAGCACACAGTCCGGCTGGGAGCTCGAGCTTGTATGGCTGTTTGGGATAAAAGATAAAAATAATAAAAACATGCATAAAATCCAGCACTAAAWCAGGGGTTCTGAACCTTTTTGACCTCGGGGCCCAATTTATTGAACATAAAGTGACACGAGGCCCAGTCAGATATTACCAATGTACGGATCAAAATGATAATTATTCTAAATCTTGGTTTAATTTGTGTTGTATTTACATCATAACTAAATTAAATACACTTACAGTTTAAATGTAAAACTGTCAAATAATCACAAGACATGATTAT